AAATAAAGTGTTTGTAGATGGGGAGGGGAGGAGGGGGTGAAGGGAGGGCAGAGGTAAGGGGAAAAAATGAGAATCAAGACTTGCCATGTAAAGGTACAAGATCCCAACAATGAATGTAACTGTACTGTATCCCTAAATGTACCAATAAACTCAATAAAAAAAAAAAGAATTAAAAGCATCATACCACAGTGATATATGCGCACCTATGTTTAAGCAGCAAAGTTTGTAATAGCTAATTCAGATAAATTTCTAAATCTCTTGCTGAGTAAGAAGACTGACAGAAGGGAAAGATAGCACAAGATCGGGTCAGACCTGGAGGGCCGAGTTCTGGCTTCCTGGTTCACTATACTGACACCAGAGGCCAGTTACCCAAGTCCTCTTCACTTCAGTGGTCACAGCAAGGGTTAAAGAAGGTAATGTATGTTAGTGGCATGTGAACTACAGAGCTCTGGAAAAACAGAAACTATTATTCTTATCTCATAATCCAGGTACCAGGAAAATATGGGGGTTTTTAATTAATATAAGCTCAAAGGCACAACATTCCAGCCTTTCTGAAATGTTAATTTCATACATAAATCAGTTTGCAAGAAATTCCACAGCACTTTACAGCATTTCCATTCCTAGAAACCAATAGCTAAAAAATGAACACAGAAATGTTCAGTTGGAAACTCCAGCCAGCTCATTTTCCTCTTTACTTCTTTTGGAAGTCTGAAGAATATTCAATATTATATTTTTTTCATCTCCTAACACTCTAAATCAAAAGTAGTTATGAAAATTTTTGTTCTAGGAGTAAAACCCATTGTCTTCCCTTAGCTGAATGGTCACTAACCACTGTAAATATTCTATTCCTTAGACGTTGTGACAACAGGGGAGGGAGAACAATGCTCGTTTCAGGCGGAAAAAATGGACCACTAGTGGCTGCCTGTGAAGCCTTTCCCACCTAAAAAACCAATACATGTAATTCTCCAGCTGGAAGAGAACTAAAGAAAAAGGAAATGAGTATACTGCATTTCTGGATTATCCTCAGCAGCAAGCCTTTCACCTGCATGTCACATGGCCACTCATCTCCATTACATCACTTTTCTTGACTACAATCCTAGTCTAACCCATCACAACTATTCAAAATCACTCTCCAGATATCACTGTTTTAAATCACATTATTTCTCAACTACCTATAAATAAAAAGTTCTATTTCCAAAATGACTAACTGGGAAGGTCTCCTTCCTCCTCTCTGCTTCCAGGATCCTGAAGTCAAGCCTTCACTGTCAAGCCTCAGGTAGGAAATTAATAGTCAAATTCAATAAAACCTGAATTTCTCTAGAAAAACAGCGTCCGAGTAAGGTCCTGTATCATTTAACACAGGAGAAATGTGTTGTTGGGTGACTTTGACATCATGTGAACATCACATAGTACACTCACAAACTAAGATGGCTACAATATCACTAGGTGTACAATCTTATAGGACCACTGTTCTCTGCTGTTCACCAAATGCTATTGTCATTGTTCACAACTGTGCTGACATTTTAAGGAGTCCTTCCAATTCACACATAAAAGAATATTTAAAAAATTTCTGGCTTGCAACCTGGTCAATGCACAGAGAGATCCACCAATGAACAGGCTGTGCTCACACACAAACATGCCAACAAGGCCATTGTTCCATTGTATTGAAATAGGGGTGTACTGCCAAAACTCAACAAGACCGATGAAAACAGACACTGAAAAGGCGGAGTTCAAAGGGAAAAAAAGACAATGCAGATGGTAGAATAATCTTGAAAATAATTAATATCATTGAAGAGCAAAGGAAATAAAATGAAACTATGACGCAAAAGAAATACCAAAACAAAACGGTAGACAGAAATCGGGAAATAGCTCTGGATATTAAAAATAGGACAGGTGAATTTTTAAAATATCAGTAAAAACACTAGACGATAAAGCCAAAGAAATCTCTTAGAGAGTAGAACAAAAGACTAAGGATCTAGAAAATAAAAGCAAAATGAAGTTAAAGGCTCTATTTGAAAAGTAATATCCAAATAACAGGAAGGTAAAAGATACAGAATATTGAGAAAGAAAGAAACAATAAAACAATAATAATAGAGAATTCCTGAAAAACTGAGAGACAATGTCTTCAGATTGAAAGAGCTTGCAAAGCACCCATACATGAATAGAAAAAGACCCATGACATTGTGTATACATAATTGTAAAATTTCAAAATATAGAGATAGCCATAAAAGTTAACTGAGGAAGGGGGAATGTGTGTGTGTGTGTGTGTGTGTGTGTGTATTCATACAGAAAGAGTTGAGAATGGAAATAGCATGAGGTTTCTTAAAACTAGAAGTGGGACAACAATAGAGAATACCTTTAAAATTGAGTTTTAATAATGCCTTTTAGCCTAGAACTCTACACCATCTAAATTAACTACTGATAGAGAAACACTGTCACACAAGGATTCAAAAAAAAGCACCTCTATACATCCTTTCTCAAGAAGCTACTAGATGAGATACATCACAAAAATGCAAGAGACTGAGACTTTAAAACTAAAGATTAAACCCCGGACAGCAGTGAACAAAAATCTGAGGATAGTGCATATTCAGCAAGCCCAAAGAGGCTCCAGAAGGAAAGTCTGGGGGCAAAGAAATAGTAATGAAGTATTTGAGGTTGCAGGAAATATATTACATGTTTGATAGAACTCTGGAGGAGTCAATATAACAGCAATTGATCCTAGACAAAATACTTTTTTTTTTTTTTTTTGGATACTGAGCATCAAACTCAAGGCCTTGCACTTTCCAGGCAGGTGTGGCACCACTGAGCTACATCCCCCATTCTAGACAAAATAAAAGACAAGGTAGTTATCAACTGCAGGAAAAACAAAGGGCTATTCAAGGAGGAAGCCTTGCTCATATTTCACTGTTGGCTCAGCCATGAAAATATTTGTCAAATCACAATGCTATAAACCTTAACCACTGATTTAATAAAATACTGTCACAATTTTATCGAGGGGATGGACAGAAAGGAATTGTATGAATAGTAAGAAAGCTATCATCTTTTCCCTTAAATCAATGTCTTTTAAAAAGTACTAAATACATATTTAGAAAAACAAGCATGAACAACAGGGAAATAGCCAAAAATATTGTATGTAAATATACAAATAAAATATACACATATAAAATATATACTTCTAGGGAGGGGTGCAAAGGATGGGGAAAAGCACTAGTACTTTTTCTTTAAATGCCTTACAATATTTTTTGTTTTTAAAAGTATGACTATGTATTACATTCACAAAACAATATATTTTAACAGCTAAAATTAAAAATATGCATGACTGCAAGATGTAATCAAAATTGGAGATTATAAGGAAGCAACTCATTAGTCATTAAAATTTTACTCTCATAAAAAGCATGCTCCCCTCTACATTTATAATTTACCACTTCAAAAGTCAGAAATCTCATTACCATTGCTTTGATTACAAAATAGATTTCAAAACATAAGATGAATCTTTTTTTTAATTATCAGAGTAACAAACTGAAAGTATCTCTTTTGCTAATATTTTCATAACTAATCAAAACCTTAACTTCCATGCTGTTTCTACTTTTGACTATTAGAATAAGCATTACATGCTTTGGATTATCAGATTGATATGCATTGCTTTTTAATACCCAAAACAGCATAACATTTTTTCTCCCAAGAAAGATAATTTTCTTTTTCTTTTTCTTTTTTTGTGGTACCGGGGATAGAACTCAGGTCCTTGTGCTTGCGAGGCAGGACACCAAACCGCTGAGCTAAATCCCTGGCCCCAAAAGATAATTTTCTTGAAAAACAGAACTAACTCTAAGCTTTTAAAAAAACACATAGCAATAAACTAATAGAATGCATTCTTGAGTTATAAACCTAAAGCTTTTACTATAGGGATTCCACATTCTCTTACAGCTTTATTTGGAGTTTGGCTTTTATCTAAATCTGGAAACATGCCCATTAAATTAGTTTTCAGTCTTCCTGAGCTAGACATGTTAGGCTTAGAATTAAAGAAGGTAACATTGTGCAAACATACTCACTCATGGATGGTAGTTGCTAATTAGTATTTCTTTATTGTGGTTTAGCTTAAAAATAGACAAAATAGATTTAATAAAATCCGCTTCAAACACAGCATTTAGGAAAAGTGATTTGTTTACCTCTGTTGGTTTGTAGCAGTCCACAAGAGCTTCCTAGAATGAAACACAAAGAAAGTCAGTTTTATTATTTTAAAATTCAAAATCATTTTCAAAGAAAAATTAAAAATCATTTCATCTTTATACTATGATTTTACAATGGCAGATCAAGACTTTCTATTAACTATCCACAATCACTCATTTCAGCACCAGTTGGTCATCTGAAGATGCAAAAATGATACACAGGAATGCTTTGTTTATCCAGGCGCACAAGCACACATGCACAAGAGGGCCTGCACACACCCACATGTACACACACACTATATATGGGAAGCTTTTTTAATAAAAAAAATTTGCTTTTTTATGCTGTAAAGCAATGAAAACAAAATACAACCCTTGATCAGATGACAGATCCCTCACTAAGAGAGCATACTTTAAAGAGGCACAGAGACAGGAAGGCAGCAGGCTGGAGTCTGCAGAGAGGCCTCATGCCTGACTCCATGCTCAAACCATGATGCCCCCCGCAACACTCCAGCTTTCCTAGGACTCCAGTTTTATATTATATTAACTGAATATAATCTAGAGGCCCAAAAGATTTCAAACCCACCCAACCAGTAAATGACTTTTACCTCCTCTTTATGCACACACACGCACAGACACAAGCACACCCCCCACACACACACATCTCCCCCTACCCTTTCCTCTGCGCTACCTACATGGTTAATATTAAACTTGACATCCTTTACATTGAGACCACCTGTGCCAGACAGTGACACTCAAAATGGACATGGAGAGAGGGGGCCCTGGCCATGATTCGGCCACAGCCCAGCTCAGCTTCTATGTTCTCACCTGGGAATCGAGGGGGACAGGTAACCTGAGGAGAGCAAAAAAGGCTCCTTTCAAGTTCACAGTTTTAAGACTACTTTTTTATGCCATTACATTTTCTATAGAAGTGATACCAGCTTCAAATTTTTACTTATTTTTAAAAACTTTTATAACCAGGAAGTCGTTATTTCTCAGCTGAATCTACCCATTAGAAATAATCACTGTAACTAAGGCTGTTCACCTAGAGTGTTCACTCAAGGGACACTAGGAATTATTAACACATTGAACACATCAGTGCTCAAAAATGTGTCACTTGGTTTGCCTTAGTGATCATTTGCCATCGGTGATAACCAATAGCCACTATCAATAATGATCTGTGGACATTCAGAACAGTGGTGGGTCAATGGTCAATTAGTTTTAGAAACTCCTAAATGCAGTTCTTAATATGATCAATTTAGCCTGTTGTGGAAAGAACTGTATAAGTTTTTCTAAGGAACATTAGACAACTCAATCTCCACTAATGTATTGGAATGGAACTGGTATCAGGTGAACATTATTTTAAAAGAGATAGTCTACTAAATTGAACTATATCCAAAGGAGTCTAATTTAGAAATGAATCTCATGAATGCTACAGTCCACAGGTGTGAGACCAGAGTCCTGGCCTTGAATATACCAGTTCTGATCCAGTACTTTTCTCATTCGCCTGTGGGCACCACTGCCTTCCCTGGAGAATGATCTTTGGGAGCAGAACCAGCTGTCTCTACTGAGAAAACAAAACCTGGTGCTAATGACACCACAGAGAATCATCTGGATCACACCTCCTCACTTTATGCCACACTTTGAGGACCCCAGTGGCGTCAAACAGGCATGGTTGGAAGATTCTCGACTTTGAAAGCTGCTCACCTGTAATTTTGAAGCTCTCTCTTCCTCACTGTCTGCATCAAGAAGATCATCAATGTCGATTTCTACATCTGGCATTTCTTCTTCCTGGGGGGAAATATGATGGCATTTTATTATTTAGGGAGAAACTCAATTGAGCTGAACCCATCTAGTTGAGTCATACACACAGATTATCAGTCTAGAGGGGATGGTGGGTAAGAAGGGGAAGGTGAGACTGAGAGGCAGAGGAGGTAAGAAGAAGTGGGGCTGAAAGGAGGGAAATGGGAGAAGACAGGAGAAGAGGCGATGTAGAAAGAGGAAGGAAGGGAAAGAAAGGACAGAATAGAGGAGAGAAGGGAGAAAGGAAGAGAAGGAGGAAGGGGAACAAAGGAAATGTAAGTCACAAAAGAGTAAAAAATATTAGTTTAGAAATGACAAGTTTCTACTTTCTAGCAGAAAAGCACAGCTGGGAGCGTATGTTATGGTTTACATCCAAAATGTTCCCCAAGGGCCAGGGATTTAGCTCAGTGGTTCTGCTGCCTGCCTCACAAGTGCAAGGTCCTAAGTTTGATCCCTGGTACCAAAAAAACAGAAAACAAAATGTGCCCCCAATTCTCATGTGTGTGGAAGGTGACTGGATCATGGGTGCCTTACTCATCAGTGGATCCATCCATTGATGAGTTCAATGGCTAAGGCCTGGTTGGAGGTGGGTCACTGGAGGCATGATCTGGAAGAGTGTGTTCTTGTCCCTAGTTCCTCTCCCCTCTCTCTGCTTCCTGGCTGCCATGGGATGAACAGCTGTCCTCCACTAGGGCCTCACACTATGCCATGTCTGCCTTGGAGCCAAAGCCTTGACACCTATGCCTACTGCTATCTATTCAGACTCTTTCCCCAGTAGCCTGAATAGCCAAAATGAGCCTCTCCCGCTTTTGGTTGGTGGGTGTTGAGTATTTTGTCCCAGCAATGGAAAAGCAACTAGCTGCAGTTTCTTGCCGTAGTATCTCCACTTCTTATGGTGACTTCCTCAGTCTATACACATTTAGGAGTCTACATCTCGCTTCACAGCTCTGGGTCGACAGAAAACCTTATTCTACCACAGGTTTTTTGGTACCAGTGTTGCCCAGCGCAGTTACTAATTTGGAGAGGATATGTGATCCAGCTGAGACCAAGGGGACTTTGGGAAGCTGCCCTCATCCCTCTGAACTGAGTACAGGATGCTGAAGCACGGTGGCCCTGGACACTGCTGGAAGCCTCCTGCAATCATGAAGAGAGGCTAAGGTCAGGAAGATGCTAACTCGATGGTGGACCGAGTGGGGCTGCCACGGTTCAGAAAACAAAATATTGGATAAATCAAGCCTGCAAGTCAAATCACCTCTGAGTAGACAAGCAAATCCCAGAAGTTGATGGAACTCTGGTGGTGTCATGTGGGCTGAGCAACCAAAAGGACAAGAAAAGTGAGAGAGCTCCCTAGTTTGGAACCTAAATTTCAACACAAAGCAGGCCTTGCCACTCTCTCCTCTATCCTCTTACCTAGGTTTTCTCTGTACCTCTCTGAACAGCATCCTGAGATGTGAAGGTAGAACAGCAAGGAGAAGACCCCTGCACTTTTTCATTTCATCTTAGCACACACACATAGTCACCTGTGGCACAACTCCCTGCTGTGGGGATGGTGGAGCACTGTCTGCAAAGACACCTGGGCTGCCACCTGAGCTTAGCTGCTGCGTGTGAGCTACCTCATCTTGACTTCGTGGGTGAGGCTGATTTTCTGAAAATTTCCTTCCTAGGAAAAGGCATTTATCAAGTAATTGTGCTTAAACTTTGCTGTGTGTGTGTGTGTGTGTGTGTGTGTGTGTGTGTGTGTGTGTGTAAAGGGAGGGTCCAAATGTATTGGAGAAACCCAGGACACCTAGCTCCTAAGAGTAGTCCCTTGATGGGCAAGAAATAGCCTTTTCCTGAGAACTAGTGGCTTGTCCTTTGCTTAGGTATTAAGTGGGACAACCACTTTCAAGCCAGTATTCATCAATGTGAATCTACTGTATTTTCATATTTGTACTTAATGACCATTTACTCACTAAGCAAAGCTGGTGATCTAGAAGTAAGGAGTTTCAATGTTTTGATGAAAATAGGGCTTCAGGGAGATTTTTCTTTGGTAAGGAGCATGGGCTCTTGAGCCAGGCAGACTGGGCCAAGGCCAGCTCCGCCATTAACTTGCTGCATGACATGGGGCAAGTTTGTTTTTTTTTTAACCTCTCTGGCCTCAGTCTCCTCATTAATAAAGATAGGACGGTAAATGCCAAATGCCTCACAAAGTTAATGTGTGTACTAAATTAGCTGATTGGGATTAAGTCCTCAGAATAGAACCTGGCACACAGCTAAGACTCCCTAAGCACTGATTACTATCATTTGTATAACATGGTAAGTTATGTAATCCATAAAACTTGAACCTTAGGGGGGGCAATTCAAACATCCTTAGTCTTAATAGGCCAAAAGTCTAAAATATACTGGACATGGTGGTGCATACCTGTAATCCTCAGGAAGCTGAGGCAGCAGGATCACTGTGAGTTTGAGGGTAGCCTGAACTACATAGTGGATCTCTGTCTCAAAACAACAACCACAAACCTAAACTAAAGAAAATTAATAAAAAATGTGTATGTCAGAAAATTCTAGTGACCTACAGCTGGAAGCAACTTGCTTCTTGATGGAAAAGTAGTTACGGGAATAAAATTAAGACACAGTCACCTAGTTTCTCAAGAGATCAGCAAAGCTGTGCAGGGCATTGTGCATCTCTGGTTATGAGAATATCTGTGGGTACCCACCATACCCGGGAACTTCATCTACATGAGCCTTGAATGCAGGGATCACTGGCCTCTGACCAGAGGTCCACTGTTGGACTGCTGTGCCTTTCCCTCCTTCTGCAAAACCTACCCCCCCAAGCCCTTACATGCAGCCAATAGGCCTCACAGACTGACACAGAGCAGCTATTGCCAATGAGAAACCAGTTCTTAGCCCACCTGGGATACCGATGTGCCTTCATCAGTAAAGACGACGCTGGGAGAATACAAAGGTGGCGCTTTATTGCCAGATCTCTGGGAAACCCACACAGGACACGAATGCTACCTCCCTCTACTGGAGCCAGCCTCCCTGCCTGTCACCACCTGCCCTCCGCCATGCTAGCATTCTCTCACCTCATGTGCTTATGTCCAACCTCCATATTCGTGTATATCTGAAATACAGCTGAGAGGGTCTCAAGAAGGGGGAGAAGGGGAACTATTGGGGGCCTGAATAGTTAACGGTAGGCATAACACTTAAGGGTTTGCCAGGCTTTCCACAGTGAGAAGAACAGAGAGGCATAAACACCAAGAAAGAAACTCACTAGGTTACAGACACCCACAGACCCTAAACAGGAATGCTGATCGCTGTGGGGAGGCCCCAGAACAGAGAAGTTGCTCTCAGGCCCCCAGCCCACCCCAAGGCCATGGACAGCAAAGGCCACGGCAAACCGGCCCTTGAAGAGCTGGGCATGTATTTCATGTGTTCTAGAAAATAAAGCTTGAGGTTCATACTATAGGCACAGCACGGTCACTTCAATAACTACCATGTAAGGCCAGGACACCCCAGATGGCCTCAATGACCGAATGCAAGAAAAGCCTAGTACGCAGATAAATCTACACATTGCATGCTGTGTAACAATCTACCCATCCTCCATCCCTCCCTTAAAACAGCCCACTGAATTCAGCATTTATACTCTGGACACCGAGCACACATGTATGTCATGTTTTAATGCAATCAAGCAAAGGAAGTCTGTTCAAAGAATCAGAGCTAAGGGCAGCTTGATGTCTGCCTTCGGTGGGCGGGGGTGAGAAAGGGTCTCACTATGAGATTTCAGCTAGCCTTAAACTCACCATGTAGCCCAGACTGCCACCTCACAGTGATCCTCCTGAGTACTGAGTCAGCTTCCCAAGCATTGGGATTACCACACCCATCTTGGCCATTCTTAAAGGAAACAGACAGGAAGTATCCGATGCCCTCCTCTGAACAACACAACAACACGTTTCCCGGTGAACAACGTTTGAAACAGTTTTGATGCTTTCTGAAGCCATGTCTCACTCCAGGCAGGAGTCATCTTTTTCCAGGTGTCGTGGCATTAGAGTCATGCACAGCTTTCCTTTAGGTACTGCTTTTGACCCATTTCCCCAGCCCCTGAGATCTGGGCTATCCCATATGGTAGCCATATGTGGTATAATTCATGACAGTGAAAAAGATGAAGAATTCAGTTTTTCATTCACACCAGCCATATGGCAAATGCTCAACAGCCACACGTGACAACTGTCTACTGCACTGGAAAGCAGAGGTGTAGAACATCTTTGTCATCACAGATGGGTCCACTGGGACTACTCCAGAGGCCACTTGTCCCTAGGCCAGATTTGGGAAGCAAAGTGCCTTTCCCCTCTCAAAAGGGAATGGAAGGAGTAAAGGAAATGCCTGATTTCTCACGGTCATTCTGCTACCCAAGGGCACAGGGCTGGGAAACACTGGGCTTGGTGGTGCAAACTGAGAGGCACTGAAGAGGAACTATAGCAATCATTTAGCAGCAGTGATTTCTATGAACCTGTAAGTCGCTCATTCCCCTGAGGACATGCATCTGAGGAGTGGGCAGAGTCCAAGATCAGCATGCATGCTAGGAATACAGAGCAGAGGGTTCCAAATGCTGGTGGTTCTACATTCATGGGGTTTCTCTTTAGCCCTATGGTCTGCATGTTGATCTCAGAGCAGTATTGACTGAATGGTGCTAGTGACAGATCAAATCCCTTACAAGGATTTGAGGACACCCACAGCCCACTATAGTGTACCATGGTGGTTCAGCTGTGTTTGGATATTTGCCCTACATTTAAGATGCATACCCAAACGGTGGCTTGGAGACAAGAAGTGAAACAATGGTCTTTAGAGTTTCTGAGAAAAGTCACTACTAACACAGTCCCTCACTAGTCAGGGGCCATCTAGGTAGTTCTCACAAACAAAGGCTCTGACCGCCACTATGCATTTTTCTAGTCACACATCTGATGCGAACTCATTTTGTGCAAGGTGCGAATGGCAGGCACTGGGAGCCC